CCACCCTCAGTTGCTTCTTCTGCGGACTCTGCACCCTCGGCAGCATTTTCAGCTGATTCCCCACCCTCAGTTGCTTCTTCTGCGGACTCTGCACCTTCGGTGGCCTCCTCGGTAGATGCATCACCCTCAGCGGCTTCCTCGGTAGATGCATCACCCTCAGCGGCTTCCTCGGTAGATGTTTCACCCTCAGCGGCTTCCTCGGCAGATGCTTCACCCTCAGCGGCCTCCTCAGTAGATGTTTCACCCTCAGCGGCCTCCTCGGTTGATGCATCAGCCTCAGCGGCCTCCTCAACCGATTCTCCGCCGTCGGCGGCCTCTTCCACTGACTCTCCACCCTCAGCTGTTTCCTCTGCAGTTTCCTCTGTGGACGTACCCTCTTCGGTGGCCTCCTCTACGCTCTCTCCGCCCTCTGCACCCTCAGTGGATTCTGCGCCTTCGGTGGTCTCCTCTGCAGATTCTGCCCCGTCTCCAACCTGTTCTGTGGATTCAGCTGCAGCATCCTCAGCAGTATCCTCTTTCGAATCGGCAGTCTCCTCTTTCGAGTTTTCGGCCTCGGCCGTTGCTTCTTGCTGTAAAAGAAACAATGCCTTGGTGATTTTTTCCCCCAACATCTGCTTCAATCCTACGTTTGCCGCCGCCCTACCTCTGCGCTGCTGTCTTGAGCCTCCTGTGAGTCGGCTTCCTCTACGCTGGCGCCGTCGATGCCCTCTGTGGTCGATACTACATCCTCTGAGTCCTCTTTGCTCCCTTCGCTGTCGGTCGCCGGTTCGTCGCCTTGTGCCTTGTCGGAATGAGAAAGTACTTAAACACTACACCATTAAAAGCAGCTTTAGGTTTGACATCACAGCAGTCGCTTTACCTGTTCTTCAGTTTCCGCACTGGTCCCTCCATCCTCAAGCGAGCCTGTTCGGGGCACGGAGCAGTCGATTATTACCCAACTCGAATTGGTTTGTCGCCCACCCTTGCGGTCTGCTCTGCCTACCTGTTACTTCGTGGTGTTCCATCTCCTTGAGGGCCTTCTCGATGTACGGCCGGCACTCCGACTCGGAGGGGGCCGGTGGTGGTGCCGGGGTGCCCCAGGCGCGGGTCTCCTGCACGCATGTTCCTGCACACACCGAGCAGCACCATTCTCAGACTAGACAAACCGGCGGGGGCGGGCCGGGCCGGGCCGGGCCGGCGGGCCTGGTCGTGACATTGAGCCAGGCGGCGGCCAGCTGGCCCGCGCGGCCCGGCCCGAGGCTGACTGGATGGATGGATGGGGATGGAAATGTCAACACTCCATTTTTTGTGTGGCACGCGTGCCTCGGCCTGACGGGTCAGGTGCTAGTACGGCCGGGACGAGGCGGCGATGGTATTTTTGCCGCATGTAGGTCGCTCTCGCCCCTCTATTTATACGGCTCCCACGTCACACTGGGGATGAGCTGCAGCGGCGCGGGATGGGACGGCGAGCCAAGCTGAACGCAAAACGTCGCAAGGCGCGGCACAGCCGCCGGCATCGCCCCGCCCCGCGCGCGCCCCGCCCAGTGCAGCCCTGCTGGAGCCTCCCCGACGACGTCCCGACTCGACCCCGACTCGGCCCCGATTCGGCGGGAAGGCTGAGGAAGCCGTGACACTGTGGTGGCGGGTACTTTCCTCCAATCAATTGTCATCCACGTACCCCTTTGTCAGAAAAAGAAAGTAGTGGTGCAGTGCGACACTTTTTGGCTCCGTGCTTCTGTTCTTTTTATTTAAAACTTAATCTCTTTGGCCGGCGGTGCCGTCCGACCGGCAGACTGTACAGTGTCTACGTAAGGAAGTGCTGGCGAGCGCCCCTGGTTACGGGGTGTTACGCAAACTCTGTCCCCACCGTGGGCGGGGACCTGGGGTCCCCCTCGGTCTGTTCACGCCCCGGGGGGGGTTCAAAGCACTCGTACTGCACCACGTCGGCAGACTGTCGAGACGCTTATGGTGACGTCCTCTGCAGAATCAGTTAATTTTTTACTTGACCTATATCAGATCCCTATGCCAGATAAGGTACGTTAGACCGTTAGACACCCTCTCCCCTCCTATTAGAAGCACAAATAATGGCTGTGATCATTTGCTCTGCCGCGGCACTTACGATTTCCCTCGGCTTCGCGCGGCCGTGAATATATATTTAACAAGCATTTACATCGGCCGCGACAGATCTTGACGCACGGCCTGTCAGACACCCCCCCC